TCCGTCCGTCCGTCCGTCCGTCCATCCATCCATCCATCCATCCATCCATCCATCCATCCATCCATCCATTGTCTTAAGATATTTTCCATTCTGTTACATATTTTCCATGGAAATTCCCTTGCCATCATTTCTCTTCTTCATTCGATTTACTCTGACACGTTTCCTGTTGCTGCTAAACAAAGCATCCAACACCATGATGTTGCCATGACCATTTTTCCCTATTGCGGACCTACGTTTTCCTCATCATATTGAATTATTTTCTTAATAGGGCAGAGGGATCAGCTCAGATCTCATTTGACAAGGGTTCAACATGTTAGCTGTCCTCCCTGCATGACTAGTGATAAACTGCACATAGAACACATATAATTACACACTGCATGACTTTATTTACTGATTACCAAATGGCTGAACTGTATATTATTGGTGGAATGAAACTAGATATGGATTGAATGCAGGTCAGATTAATCGTTGTGAACATTTTTTTTTAGAAGCGCAAATACATAGAGGTACATTAACATATATTTAAGCTTGTGGGTGTAGGGTGACCTAAAAGGTCAAAGGAGCATAAAAATCTTATACAAGGCACTGTCAAATAAACATGATATGGGTATATTTATCTAAAAGAAGTTTGTGTGTGTGTCTATGTATAACCCAGAGTAAAGCTATACTCACCCTGAATGTGTTAGGGTGGAAGGAGCCTGGGTGATCACTGATCCTGACTGGGAGGTGGCGGAGGAGCAGGACAGCGCTTGCTGGGCAGCCAGGCTGCAGCTTGGCGCCATCATTGGGCCATGGCTCTGGGGATGATGCAGCGGGGCCTGCGGATGAGGAAGCTGCGGCTGGGGAGGATGCTGAAGCTGAAGCTGGGGCTTCAGATGTTGCTGATTCATACAAGACGGCCCATTATGAGAGAGTGTCTGTGGAGAGTGAAGGAAAGCAAAGCAAACTGCTTGGATCTCTTTTTGAATTTTAGGAGCAGAATGAAGGTGTGTTGAAGTGCCCTGGCTGTTTAATTTAGAGGGTAGAATGTGATCACCTGGTTTGTCTTTCCTGCAGCAGGTCAGATATCTGCAGCTGACTAATTGGGTTTGACTCCCTTTATCCCCCTCACAAAAAAACGCCACTCAAGACAAACCATCACAGACCTCGCAAGCAAATTCCTAGCAGCAATAAAGCACACATCTACACTGTGTCTTACAGATCCATAAAGCTTTCCGTTATAAAAAAATCCAATAGTAATCCTTGCTCTTGTGTACCTGTTTGTTTTTTTCCTCTTCCTGGGCTTGAAGGAACTCCTCCTCGATCTCTTTGAATAGACCAACCTCCTCACAGTTCTGCAGAAATCGTGTGGGGGTCGGAGTCTGGGCTGGAAACATCACACGCAATCAGACACACAAAGAAGAGATGGAGTTAGAACTTTTTGCAGAAGTTTATGCCTTGCAGCCCTGCAGTTGGAGCTCATACAGGCTCTAAACCAACCGATGTCCAGGTTGTAACGCAAGGAGGAGAGAAAAGCCGAGCAGCCAGCCTCACGCTCTGATAACATCAGTCTGTCTCTCTGAGCCGCCTAAACATGCAGGGGTCAGAGGTCATCTGGGCTCTTTGTTTTGACACAAGATTTCCTGCTGGAGGCGAGACAGACTGCAGGACATGGGATAGGGGCGAGGGTCCCAGCGGGAGAGTCTGCAGAGGTTAGGTCCCACACTGATGTTTGCATCTAGAACCAGCTGATCCTTTCACAGATCTCATTGTGTGACAGCATTTAGAACATAAGGGTCGGATATCAGTGATTCAATTATTCCAAATTGATTTGAAGCAATTTTTTAGGGCTCTGGCACTGTTTCAACTATCTTTTTTGTTAACTGTAGGATATACAAACTTTTTTTTCTGTGTTGAAAAAGTAATTTATCATATATATAGTCTTTTTGAACATTCTTTAGCTAAGTTTAGAGTATTTTTAAATACAATTGTGACCTCATTTGAAATTTCAGAAAGGAAAAAAACAACAGGAAGATTCCATAGGGAACAGGAAACAAAAAGAAGAAGCAGAGTTCATTATGAAGTTGAATACAAAATGCTGCCAATGTTACAGATTTTATTTATTATTCATTAGGTTGTCTAATGTCCAAAGACTAAATATTAAATGCAAGCGTTAAAGGGACTGTGAGCCCTGAATTTTCTTTAACTAAAGAAATGTTCTTATTAATCCTTAAATATAAACATTATTACTACGTTATTATTTATATTTTCTTTTAAGGACACAAAAAATTTAAAACACCACTTCTGTTGACTTCTAAAGAAGGAAAAGACTTAAATGTTTTATCATGGATTGTATTCAGTCCATATAGGGTCAAAATTCTGCATCTGCAAATCTATGCTTTGAGTTGTACCTCTGCCAAACTGTTTCTGGACACTAACAAGATCCTGCAGTAATTCTGGCTTCACATTAAACCATTTGTTTAGTGGGAATTGAGCTAATTTAAACTACCTGTTTTTAGGGTGCACACCCCCTTTCGAAGCATATTCTGGAAGCTTAAAACCACTGATGTTTACTTGTGATCAGAGACCTGTTAAAATACCCCTGTGTTAAATTTTCACCCATCTGATCTCAGCTTGCTTTCTCACATACAGGCAATATGTTAAATAATTTTCCGCACTACCAGCATGAGCGTGCACTGCATCCTTCTGGAGCAGCTCTATTTAACTAAGAAGTTAAATAAAAAAATAGCTTTAAAGATACTAAAATAAAAAAAGACCAATTTGAAGAGAGTTTTTATGTTAATAAAAGAAACTGATAGAAGTATTTATCTTAAGGGTCTGTTTGCTTGTAGTTGAAGATTGCAGATTGGGGCTACTTCCACTGATTTCTGATATTAAGGAACAAAATATGGACAAAAATTGGTTGATAAAGAACAAGAACAAACACGAAAGCATGATTTTAGAGCAGAAGAAGCAGATTTAGTTAAGCCTCTGAAACAACCCACACGTCAATCCTTTCAAAGGCTGAGCAATTCCAACAAAGCCTGCCGTTTCTGACTAAATGGGAGGTTAAACATTCAGCTGGAATGGCGCTAGAAGCTTCCTGATGGCCATGGAGGACCCATTACTTTCAATCAACTCACTACTAAATTCTCATTTGTATATTTGAATTTTTTTATTCATTGAAATCCTTTCCCATTGCATCCAAATCCAGTCTTAAAGGTACAAAGAATGTTTTTCACACCAAACAGGAGAGCATGTAAACTTCAGACCAGTCTGTATATGCAGCTATAGACATGGTTTCCATTGTCCTTTCATACAGAATGCAGGTGTGGCACATTCTTAATATTAACCCTTGATTTAGTGCATACCAACCTGTTCTCTGAAACGCCGCTGGTGCTACAATAGCTGTGTTGTTTTTTATCTATTTATTTATTAATTATCTTTCTAGCTTTTGATGCCTCATCCTTAGCGTCATGTTTTCAAGTCAAACCATGTTTGGCCTAACCCAGCGTAGTTTACTGTACATGCTGCAACACGAGCCAATCTGTTTCACCCTGCAGACTACCTGAGGGGAGGAAACCTGTATGGAGCTTATCAGGTTTCATATGACTTATTGCCACCTTTCTCTTTTTTGTTTTTATCTGACTAACAATCTCTGCAACCTGGGCTAATGTTATGGTATATAACATATTGAATTGATAGAAAAAGATAGAGCACCATGCATGGTGCAATAACATGTATATTCCAAAACAGTTAAAAAACAATCCACTGGACTTGGTTTCCAAGTTTGAAGGCGTTTCGCTTCCCATCCAGGAAGCTTTTTCAATTCGAAATGTCAGAAGTAGCGTTGAGTTCTAGACTTCAGCCCATCAAAACCTTGTTTTTGTTTAGAAACTGATGAATGGGTCCTCCCTTTTCTAATGTGGGTTGTTTGGCTTTGTTTTGTTTGCCTGCAATTCCCCATACCTGTCTATGTCTCTGAAAGGGCTGTCGTTAAAGGGAATTGCTGGCCTATGTTTTGAAAACAAAAACAAGGCTTTGTTGGGCTACTGTAAAAAGCCTCGAACTCAACGCTATTTCTGACATTTTGAATTGAAAAACCCTTCTGGATGGGATTTAAAACTTTTTTTGAATGACTTTTTTTGAATGACTACGACCTGGATGACTGAATCTTCACCAGCAAAATGTCATACATACATTTCCACCCATTTTGGGAAGTCACTTCAGGGTTGTGGATGTTCTGATCTCACCTGAAAAAGTTGTGTCCGTCTTTATGGGAGGAAACTTCAGGGTCATCTCATGCTTGTGTCGGTGAATGAGCAGGTGCTCCTCTAGCTGGAAGCGCTGGAACGCATTGGAAAGAGTGACGGGGACAATAAAAGACATGCGTCAAGATATGAGTCGTTCAAGTAAACCAGCTGATCTCTCTTATCTGCCTGCACGGTCACAATGCTTTTAATCTTATCAGTATTAAAGGAAATTTTACTCCTGAGCAGAAAAAAGACTGATGTCATTTCTCTGATAGCGTTTACTCGCTATTTTTATAATTTTCTCGTGATGTGTGACCGAGTTCCGTGAGAAGATAATAAAAACATAAATCATCAAAGTCTTTTTACAGTAATTCGATTCATGTTGTGTACTACTGACCTGGGAGCAGCCAGGGGCGCCGCACGCATAAGGCCTGTCCTGTTTGTCATTCATGTCATACACAAGCCTACACAAACAGAGGAATGGAGAGGGATGTGTCAATACAGAGCTTGACCACTAAAAAGGGACGCATTCCTCGTGCATCAGAGGTCAGAAAGAAACTCTACAGAGAGCCTTATGGCCCAGTTTACAGAAAAATTATACATTAAGAGGTAAGACATTATTCACTTGACTGTGAAAGGTATGCGTAATGTATTTCTGGAAATTATAGATTATATTTCTTTGGACAAGGCCAAAAACCACGACAATGACCGAGTGATACACATACATAAACATGAATATGAAAACACTTCCTCCATGGGGACATATATAAGCGGCAGTGTCATGCTGTGGGGATACGTTATTCTACCTTACGAGGAATTTATGAAACGATTAGAAAAAAAAAGCTGCAAACTGTTGAAGTATGATTAAAAACATCGAAAAGGAAGGCTCACCTTTAAAATCAGTTCTCTTTACTCTGATACCCTGAAATAAAATCCAGTGCAACCAACAACTCAGCTACTAAAATGCTGAAAACTGACTCTGCAGATTACCCAAAAAACACCAGCCTAGTAGTGAAACACGGCGGTGGCAGCATCATGCTGTGGGAGTCTTTTCTTATTTGGAGTCTATCAAGGAATTACACATGGGTTTGCATTACCGTGAGGAGAAAATTAAGGTTACAATGCTTTTATGTATTTATTTATTTATTTTTTAACATACCAGCCAGCCTCTATTTCAGTTCTCTATTACCTCAATTTAAATGGATGAAACGTTTTAACCTTTAGATAAAACCCTTTGAGCGGAGGAAAATAATATCTGTTGGAAAGATCTTGTAAATAAAGCTTCAACTGTAGGGGAACGATATTTCTACAAATGAACTCCACACTTATCAGTTTGTGGAAAAAATAAATATCAGATATTCTTTTTACCTTCATAAAATCTGACTCAACATTTTAATGTTGAGCTCTAACATCACAGAATGGGAAAAGAGAAGGTAACGCCTATAAATGCACCAAAAGGGTATTAAAGTACTTTGGCATTATGATCCTTATTTTCATGGTTTTTATGCATTGATGTTGCTGATCATGACTCATTCTTTAGGGGCACTGTGAGATTTTGCTTGTCCTTTATTTCCATCTAACAGCAAAGGAAGAAAGATTTAAGTCTCCAGCATCAGGTGTCACCAGACGACCGGAGTGTTGATGTTATGGGAAAGAGTGAGAGCTTTTGAAAGGAGCCTAAAAACATTAGAGTAACAGAATATGCTTCCATAAGTAGTGGAAAGAGTGGGAGGGGGTGAGGTCAAGGGGGGCGGGGGTGTTGGAAGAGGAACGTAAGGGTGATGGAGAGGGGAATGGAAAGGGCAAGTGGCAGTGACTAAGGGAGGAAAAATCGGCAGATAGGGAGGGCCACTCTTCAGGGCCTATACTCCTGACAGGTTTGAACCTGCCGCAGCCCCCATTTTCCAACCTAAGGCAAGCAGAAGTGACTTCATAAGTGTGTGCGTGTGTACGTGTGTGAGCACACATGGGTTACAAAATAAAACAAACCAGTTCACAAGGTCCTACACAACAAAGTTTATATGATTTGCTGAGAAGGAATTAAAGTTGCATGCCTACAGGGGTCGGAAGCGCAACAAAAATAAATTAAGTTTGATTTAATGTTTAAATCATATAGAGGATTTTTAAAGGATTATTTCCACTCATTTGTGCCCTTCTTTTTTCAAGCAGCACTCGTGCAGGATTAAAGCAGACTCAGCACATTTCCAGCAAAACCTTCTGTCAGAGTGGTTACATCACAGCAGCATGATGTCATCCTAGATGCACAAATCCAACAATGGACAATATGCTGCCGGTTTAAAAGGGATTAATTTCAATCCTGAAGATACTACAGATCACAAGCTGGGACAACCTGATACTCTACTGTTTCACAATAAATCAGAACTTTTAGCAGTTTTAGAATGATCAGACTTACTGTTTTTTAAAGTTTCCATATAGAAGATGAAATGATGGTTATGGTTCATTCAGATCCGATTAAAGGAGCGGGTCCAGAGTCAGGTTTTCTCCCATAGATCAGTAAAAAAACAACCTGTTCAGCTCATAAACAAACCCAGCCTGCCGGCCGGCACAGCTGCATGGAGTCACACCCCCCCACTATAGTCTGTCTGATGCCGCTTTACCAGGAGAAAACATTAGAAAACAATCCAAAACAATCAAAAACAAAAAAAAAAAGTTCCGCCGCCTTAACTTTTTAAAGCTCCATTTAATACATAAACGGAGACATCGGAGAATATAGGAAGTGGATCGTAACCGTTAGATCAGGAGCTGAGGCTGCCTGCTGCTGCTGCGCTCTTTGGAAAGTTCGTCTTTTTTTGTGAATGAAAAGCAAACTTACCTACAAGTGGAGAGAGGGACGAGCGGCGCTCCAGAGAGGAACCACGTTGGACTGGAGAGCGATGACAATACGATCTATTTACAGAAGCATTACATCACCCCCCGGTGACGTCACGTGGGATTCCTGAACTTCTAAATCATTGCGGTCCCGCACGGAGGGAGGGGGAGGAGAGAGGGGCGGGCCCCTGAGGGGGACAACAAACATGGATCTGGACTAGGAAGATAGATTAAGGGGCCCTTTTTTATTTTTATTAATTAATATTATTATAATAAAAACTGAGTGTAAAAAAAAAAAAGCAACAAAAATTATGGTTAAATAAATTGTTATTATTATAACTTTGTAGAATTAATCAGAGACCTGTGTTAAGTTGAATATATCAATAATAATAGTAAACAAAAACAAAAGGATAACCAAAAAAGTAAGAAAAAGAAAATCAGGGCAAGAGTGCATTTTAACTGAAATAATAACCGTGAATCAAGCTGACAAATATGGACATATATCAAAACTATGTAGTGACATGTCAAAATTTCTGGTATTTGATCAGCAAAATGCTAAAGTTAACGTGATGTAAGGAACTGTCTTGTAGTAGAATGAGGCTGTCTCTTTTAAATGTTTCTTTTTTTCTTAAGCTTTGTATGTTTCCTGTAATAGTACTGCCTGTTTATTTATTCATTTATCTCTGTTGCCTTGCAATATTTAAGTTTATAATATATGTTGTCTTCTTTTATGTAAGAAAGAATGTGGTGATTCCTACTTGAAAATGTAAATATATTTTTTAGTTCAATATAAAAAAATTAATAAATAAATAACTGTGAATCAGAGGCGTAGCCAGAAAAGGGGAGCCAGGCACCAGAACCAGAACCTCAGGGTCAATCTACACTGTTCCAACAAGAACAAGCACAACATCCATATTTTCTAAACGCAAACTATAGTTTCCTGCAGCCTTTCCAAACAAATATTTAAACATCCGTCAACATATGTCGGATAAAATTCTTTCAGGTTTGAGTTCTGGAGTGAGCATCTTTTCCATCGTCATTACTTACCTACTTTTATCAATATCATTCTGCATTAAATTGATATTTACGAGTATTAATATCTACATAAATTGATAATTTAATACGTTTTTTGTTAAAATAGTTATTAACAGTATATATGCAGAAACACATCATTTTCTCTTTATGGCATATAACACAAAATCTAGTTCTGAAAGAGCATGAATTCTGTACTTATAATCTCTTATGTTGGGATATTGATATGCATAATTAACCAGAGTGTTTTTGTTGTCAAGTAATTGTTATTATATATAAAATTAAATAGTTTTGAATGTTCTACTTGAGAGAAAAAATGGTAGGTGTGGCCACAGGCGAGGCCAATGATTGGCTAAGGGTGGCCATGGCCACTCCTGGCCCCCTCATCTAGCTCCTTTAATAATCTTTAATACAGCTGGAGCTAAGAGTTTACTGATTTATCTAAATAATTGTTAAAGTAAACTGAAAAGGTGAACTATTTAAGTCAGTTAGTGGATATCACCATAAGGAATTTATTTAAAAACCACAAAAACTGATTTAAGTAAGTAAAAACGCCTTAGAAATATGTGTTTTTGCCCTTAATTTGAATAGGCAAATAAATAGGATATCTGAGGGAGGAGAGGTGTTTTTTTTCTCTTAAAATAAGATAATTATCAAGAAAGCTTTCTCAAATAAAAATGAGAAAGCTTTCTGGAGTCCAGTGGTTTTGTTTTTAACTTCTTTTTTGTTTTTTGGAATGACTATGACAGGGGTGACTGAGAATGTTCACCAGCAAGATGATTAATTAATAAGATACTTTTCCCCCCCTTATTTTAAACAAAAACCATCCTATTCCATTGAAAAGTTGTCTTACTGACCTGCTCACATCAAGGGACAGTAACCTTACTTGACTTTCAGTTTTTGCATTTTACAGGGGACAGCCTCTTTTCTGCAGGGACACTGGCCCCTGTTGGCCCCTGTCTTGAACCATCCATGAACACAACATTGTAAAGTGACTCATTGCTTGCAGCAGGAAACTGTGCAGCCAGGACAGTTAGATCATGCTGTGGTCAGGGATTAGTGTAACTGCTATCGCAATCAACAACAGCAGAATGAAAAAGTTTAAATATAGCTAAAATATTTAAGGCGCAGGGAGTAAATATACCGGTAGCTTAAAAAGTTCAGTTTAGGCAACAGGATGTGTTGTTTTCTAGAAGACCTTTTGCCTCTTATCAAACACGCTTCCTTGGGTCTAACTGATGACGGGGAACACTGGGATCAATATACTGTAGGTGTAACAAGAATTAGGGGAAAGACAAAAGGTGGCTCTGATCCCTTCTACTGGTTTAGTAACCTTTTGATAGGGTTCCCTCTGTTTAGGTTTATTTTTTAGCTTTTTTTTTGTTATTCTTTGCCATTGTAGTTGTTTTCTTGAGCTACTCTCTGTTGCCCCCTTGTGCCTGTTTCCTTTCCCATTGGCTCCCTTCAAGTTACCTCTATTCACACCTGCTCCATATCGGCTCATTAGCCAATCCTTTGTTCTGTTCCCCATATATACACAACACCTCTTCAATTCCTCATTGCTTTGGTGTCTCTTTGCACAAAGTTATAATAATAACAATTTATTTACCTGGCTTTGCTCCAGTTGCCTGTGGAAACCTTATTAAATCAATCAGCAAAACTCACCTCTGCCACCTCATCTCTGCATTTGGGTCCTCGAAACATTTTGTTTTTCCCTCAATTCTTTGTTACACCCACAGTATTTTATATTAATGCTCCCCATCAGTTGGAACAGAGGAAGCCACTTGGATTAGAGGCAAAACGTCTTCTAGAAAACTTCACATGTAGTTCCCTAAACTGAACTTTTCAACCCTGACCATGACCTGGATGACTGACATATCTGTGATGACTTCACAGATATGGAGTAAATAAAACAATAACCCGACCTCTACTGACTAAAATACGTATTGAGAGAATGATAAGTATTAAGATCGGCCATAGCTAGGTTTATATTCTGTGTTAAACATTAATACTAACGTTCACACGTTATAGTTGACCTAAATGTTCTGGAGTGATCTAAAATACTGTCTTATCTGAAGCCCTTAAGCAGACGGAAAGTATTTGCTTTTAGTCATGCTTGTGAAAAAGTAACTTTTACTATTCATTAAATCTCCCGTTTAGTATTCAAACCACGCATCATGGATTTCAGCTTGATTAAAGGCTATTTAGATAATAATATAATATATAATAATATATAGATAATAATATTAATAATAAGCCAAAGGGAAATACTTGCAAACATTTAAATTATGGAATTAGACCTTACAATTATTGTATTTTATAATTCTAATTATATTTATAAAACCTCATACATTAGCTGCCCAAGAAACCTATAAATGACCAACGAAGAACACATTAATCCCTCCATCTGTCTGGGTTTAGGAAGTGGATTAGCACTATGAAACCTTCCACCAAAACTTTCAACTGAATTTAGAGATGTATTAGATGTAACTGCTGGGCTTAACGTTTTAAAACTTTGGCAAAGTAATTGAAACTGTAGACTATGATATTTAAAGCTAGCGTCATTCAGAACAAGCAATGGGGATTTTAGAAGTAGATTTTTCCCGTTGTCTGAATGTTGCATAAGTTGTCCCCCATAGCTTTGTGTTAGGCCCAACACCTCTGATTATTTTCAGTAAAATAAAGGCAAAAATGACAATGACACAGGTAACTATTGTCATACGATGGCATTTTTCCTCATGTTTGATTATCTGCTGGTTGCATTTGAAGTAATTTAGTCATATTAATGCTTAGGGGTGGTATTTTTAAAAGAAAATAAAATGTAGTTTATTTACCCTCACAATGTGAAAAACTTATGTCCAGCTATAAATGTATTGCTATTTTACTGAGAAAAATGTTCCTTTCAGATTTCATATTTAATATGATTTGGAAATAACAACATTAAAATGTTATGGTTAATTCATAGAGAAAGATCCCTTTTTTATCTAATGTGTTAAATAGACATAATTCAGACAGATTTTAACCTTATACTGGTTACATTAACATTTGTATGAGTGACCCTGTTTAGATCTTTTTTAGATGTTGTATATCATGGGTTGCTTATTTCCATCACAGGATGTAAACCTCTTACCCTACATTTTACATCACCTTGCCTAGCTGGATGGCATTGACTCTCCACAAATTAACCTGGGCAAAAACAAAACCTGTACTACCACTGTCACTATAAGATCTGCATCTAGCTTCCTATAGGTCAGCCTCTGCTCAGGCCTTTATTGCATTTAATTTACCTGCAGAAGACCCTGTGGTTGTATGGCGCAAGTCCGCATCTGTTCGGAACAAATCCAACATATTATTTTAAGGAGAAAGAATGTTGTTTCCGTGTTTCCATTTTTATTGGATATTTTTTAGGCATGTCTTGCATGAGTCCATTTGAGGAATATTGTGCATTATTAAACAGGCCTCTTTTAAAAGAAAAACACAGAGTCTCAATAGTATTTTAGAATAGAATAGAATAGAAAATCCCCAAAATGGGGAAATTCTGGTGTTTACAGCAGCAAAAAGATTATGAAAAATTTAAAGTCTAGAGTAAAAGAAAAAAAACGGGCAAAAAAAAACCAACAATGACAAAACACTGAGAATTTAGACAAGCAATGTTCCAATAACTTTCTGATCTCAGCAGAGTGGATATATTTCCCTATGTAAAATTTTGATACCCTATAAAATTTTGATTTTTCTCCCATATTTCCAATCAAAGCAGCTTTTCCACAAAATAAAGATTAATCTGAGGTAGGCCACTTTTCCTGAGAAGATCACTCCATACCACAACGTATTAAATGATTGTTTTCATACCAAAGAGGGATATAAAAAAAAAAGTCTATCTCTTTACATTCTTAGATATTTG